CATAATTTTCACACACACACAAAAAAACCATATATACAGGTGTTCCCAGCATTATTCACAACAGCCCCAAATGTCCAATGCCTGAGAGATAAATAAAATGAGGCACACGCACACCCAATACAAAAGTCTGAAAAAAATAATGAAGAGAGTTGGAAGAAGGCTCAGTTTTCCTGCTATCTAATGACGTAAGCTCGAGGACCTGAGTTCAGTGCAGAACCAGGTAAAGCTGGAAGGAGAGAAAGGCCCACAAGGCTGTCCTGATCTCGACATGGGCACACAGACACACATCATGCACACACACAATAAATAAACAGCACCATGGATGAACCTTAAACATGATGTAAATGCAAAGTTAAGAAGCCAGTCACAAAACCACATACTACAGAGTCCATTAGCATGGAAACTGACAGAAAGACTAGTGATTGTCTGGAAATAGGGGATTAAGAAGTATTAATAACAATGCATATGGGGATGATTTTGAGGTAGGGGACTGCTTTAAAATTGACTGTGGTAATCACTACACATAGCTGCGGATGTATTGAAATTTTAGCACTAGTACATTTTATAATTTTATACTTTAAATAGACAAATTTCATGGCATATGAATCATTCTCAATACAGCTTTTTAAAAAAGTTGTCTGTGTGCCATGTGCCTGTGGTCCTAGCTACTGATGAGTGAAGAAGAAGGACTGTTTGACTGAGAGCTCAAGCAGCATAAAACATATAATCTTACACACTTCCCGACACTACAGCTTCTGAGGAATGAATAAGGATGTTCAAAGGTTTCATGTAATACTGTATTATCACAAAATTTCATAAATTTATTTGGTATTCTGAGTATCATGAACTCTAATATTATAGCAGAATACCTCAAAACACTCAAAGTAATTATAAAACATTAATATAAGATATAATAAGCAATATATTCTACTCTACCAATAATATTTAATATTAAATTATTTTCAAAAGAAAATATCTTAACATTCCAGCTGTGGTGGCCCATGCATTTAATTCCAGCACCTGAAAAGGCAGGCGATACAGATGGATCTTGATGAATTCAAGGCCAGCGTGGTCTACACAGCTATAAGCCAGCCAGGGCTACACAGTTAAATCTCTCCTCAGAAAGAAAAAAAACAAAAACAAAAACAAAAGACAAGTAAGTGACACATTTTCACTCAACTAAACAACAGAGCAGGAAGAGGAGGAGACAGGAGGCTGTCCTGCAGCCATTTCAGAAGCTCAAACAGTTCAGGGCTTTAGTGGTTCTGGACTTGAAGACTGTTAAGAACTTATTACCAGGATAGAACACCACACAATGTACATGTGCTAAACATCACTTTCATTGCATTTGTACATGCTATTTCTATGTCACAGGAGAAACCTTCACAGGATCCAAGCAGCCAGAGAGACCTAGCTTTAGCATCAAAAATAAGGAAGGAGGGCTGCTCAATGGCCCAATGGAGAAAGGAGCTTTCTGTCAAGCCTGACAATTTGAGTTTGATCCCCAGGAGGACCCAGAGTAGAAGGAAAAGGAGAACTGGTTTGTAAGGTAATTTTACATAATGACAATATATTGTACATACTTCTTTTTTTAATATTTATTTATTATGTATACAATATTCTGTCTATGTGTATGCCTGAAGGCCAGAAGAGGGCGCCAGACCTCTTTACAGATGGTTGTGAGCCACCATGTGGTTGCTGGGAATTGAACTCAGGACCTTTGGAAGAACAGGCAATGCTCTTAACCACTGAGCCATTTCTCCAGCCCCCTTGTACACACTTCTTTTTTTTTTTTTTTTAAATAAAAGCCACGAGGCAAATTGTAGATTAATATAAATGGGTTAAGTTAGAAGAGCTAGTGGGACAAGCCTAAGCCAAGGCAGAACTTTCGTAATTACTAAGAAGTCTCCATGTCATTATTTGTGAGCTGGTGGCCCAAAGAAAAATCCATCTACACCTGGCATTCCAGTTTAGTTGTGTATGTTGTATTCCATCTAGCAACTGTACCATGGTACCAAGTAGGAAAGAACTCAGGCCTGGATCAGCACCATGGCTGGAAGGGAACCCACACCAAACTCCTCTGCCCCCAGTACCTGGGAGTGAGTTGGTCTGGTCCCATCAAACCAATTTAGTGATAGTTTTCCAGGTGCCTGAGCCCCACACGACAAGTTCCCCTATCCTTCAGTTTCTGCTCAGTGAGGTGACCTGAACACTTTTGGCTTCTATAACTTTCTCTGTATGCAGTCCCCGATGTACTCAGGAGTCAGCAATCCAGAAGTGATCTCTCTAGTCGTCCATGTTCCTGCTCCAGGCTCCAAGATCATGCAAAATCCAACTCCCACCTCGGGTCCCAGGTGACTCAGGTCCAGCTCCCACCTCGAGAAAGTTGACCCAGCCTTCTCCCAGACCCTGGGCCATGCTATCTCAGACAGACAGTCTGCAGGGTGACCTACTCTTTCCTTCTGTCTGTGATCAGTTTTCTCTTGTACACACACTTCTTAAAGCTAAGATTGTTTGTTTAGAGAAGGTCTCGGGTATCCCAAGCTAGGTTCAAACTCTATGCAGCTGAGGACAATTTTGACTTCAGAACCTGCTGCCTTCAACTCCAGCGCTGAGACTGCATTCACCACCACACTGGCTTCATGCTGTGCTGCAGATCTGAATGCAGGGCTTCACGCCTACTACTTAAGTATTCTACCAACTTAGCTACATCCCCAGCCCAAGAATTTTAAAAGTTTTCAGTCTCAAAAAATGTTAAATTTGCCAGGCAGTGGTGGCACACGCCTTTAATCCCAGCACTCAGGAGGCAGAGGCAGGAGAATCTCTGTGAGTTTGAGGCCAGCCTGGTTCCAGGACAGGCTCCAAAGCTACAGAGAAAACCTGTCTCAATCCCCCACCCCAAAAAGAAATGTTAAATTTTTGCAGAGACAAATATTATTTACCTGATTTGAACATTACACAATGCATACATGTATTAAAAAAAATATCACTTTGTACTCCATAAATACATGTTTTGTAACCGCTGAAAATGAAAGTGTATTTTTATAAATATTGATTTGTAGTGTCGGTGCACACCATGAACTTGGTACTGGGTAGTGCTAATGTGAAGCTGTTTAGAAAGACACTGGTTTGGCGCTCCTCAATTGCTACAAACAGGTTTCTATGGCTTCCTAAGCATCTAAACATGGCAAAGGCTACAAAAGAACTATAATTTAAATTTTAAACCACCACATAAAACTAGAACTATCCTTGGATAACAAATAGTACTAGATTTAAAGTAGCAAGATTAAATAGAATCTCAGAGCCCTCCTGTGAGTGGCAGACCCTGACGATGAAGTTCACAGCACACAGGTAAAATAGTAGAGGACCTTCTCTGGGGAACTTGCAGGGTCCCAAAGAGATGACCTCTTGACTCTTTGGCATTTTGAGGTTCCTTAAGAAAACTTGGCTTATACCACAGGGAAGCCCAGTGAGGAATACCTACCCACACTGACTCTCTGGTCAGACCTTGCTGATAAACAAGACTGTGCAGCCAAAGGTCAGCAGGCATTAAGTACAGTCTCATCATGGAAAAAACTCTGGGAACATAAAGATCAAAACTGACCTTCAAATAAACCATAATAACCTCCAGTTCTAAAATACATATGCAACCATAAAACAAGAAGACTGACAAAAAGGACATAAAGTACAAGGACAAGCTCTTAGAAATCAAAATATAGTCAAATATAATTTAAAAGTAAGAGTGAGAAGGCTCAAGCAGTCAGTCAAATAACACAAGTGCTCAATAAGAAAAACGACTTTAACCCAGAAAGTCCAACATCCCATCAATAGATATTCTAGAAAGACACAGAGCACAGACCCAAGAACAGTATCAAACATACAACTCAGCCGGGCGGTGGTGGCGCACACCTTTAATCCCAGCACTTGGGAGGCAGAGGCAGGCGGATTTCTATGAGTTCGAGACCAGCCTGGTCTACAAGAGCTAGTTCCAGGACAGGCTCCAAAACCACAGAGAAACCTTGTTTCGAAAAACCAAAAACAAACCAAAACAAAACAAAAAAAAACCATATAACTCAAGAGTTTTCTCTGAACTAAGAATGTAAGGTCCAACCTAACAAATGGGAAAAGACCCACTAGGACTCACCGAATACTTTCAGGATATAAATGAGGAAAGAAAAGACTCCTAAAGCCTTCAGAATTTACGTAAAATGTCACGGGCTTCTTCAGCAGCATCAAGGGAAACCTGAGCAGAGTGGAGTGAGAGCCTCACAGCTCTGAGAAAGCATCTCTTCTTACCGAACACAGCGATAAAAAGAGCCACATCACACACCACCAGACAAGCGATCACAGAGGAAACAATGCAATGTGAAAAGCAGAAGCTCATGGAGTCACGCAGCCAGTGCATGCTGGGCCGCAGCAAACTGCTCAACTATCTGATGCACTGGTGGTCAGAGAAAGGCTGAGAAGCTTGAGGGATTTGAACAATGACAGGTATACAGGAAGAAAAAGGAAATTATAGATTCCACAAATAAATAGTCAATAATAAATAAAAAATATTTGACAAACATTATCAATCGATATAAATAAACAATATTCCACAAATAAACAATATTTGGCAAAGCAGTGAATAACGCTTTTATGGATAATACAAAAGCAGAATTCTAAACAAAAATTCTGATAAAACAATTAGAAAGAACAAGGGAAAGGCATGAGGGGAGGATCTTAGTAAATCATCACTAACAATCAGAATAACGTTTAAATTAAGAACTAACCAAATAAGATATGTTAGGTAGAAATTATATTTAACATGTAAATAAAAACCAGAAGCTAGAGCTGAGATTTGCTTGGGGTGGGTATGACTGGAATGAAAAGAGCTGTTATATACTTATATACATATAACTTGGTATTTTAAAACTCTGCAAAGATTCAGGAATTTAAAAAAAATTAATCATTCTTAGGAAGTTTTATACATTTAGACAATTTTCAAAATCTAAGCATACCTCCTGTAAGTTTTGGTCTTCTTGAGTCCAAGAATTTAAAACATGAGCTCCTGAGTCACTCACAATGAAATTCACCTAACGGATACAAAGAAACAATTAGTACTCAACTCTAGCGTCACAGGATCGCCACCAACTATAAAATAACACATGACTCATGGCTCTGTAAATGTGAATGCCTAGGACATGTAGCTGCCATCCAGGCACCCAGTACGTGGGAACGCGGTAATAGATCAAACACTTCTGTCACAACATGGGGACCGTCTGGAGCGGAAATGTGGCAAAGCAGTGCAGAAAGAACACAAGCAAATAAATGAACAGGAAAATTTCAGAGAATAATAAATGCTATGAGAAACAACCCGGTTCACTACTCAAAGTCAGGTGGGAAAAGACAGGATTCTCTAGAGAGACAGCCACTGAGAGGCTTTCAAACTGACTACTCAACCAGTCCCAGAACAATCCAGGGAGAGATAATCCCAAGTATGCAAACAGCAGATGCAAAGGCCTTTAAATTTAAATGCACTCCCAAAAAGGCAAAATCCAAAACAAGCAGAGAGCTGGAGGTAAGCCTAAAGAAACACTTCGGCAGAGCACCGAAAGCTGTCCAAGGCACTGACGGCCAAATGACGGACATGAACTACATGCTTTTCTTCCCCTCAGTAAAAGGCGAATTGAAAAACACTGTAAGGATGAAAGTACAGCGCCTGCCTAGCACGCACCGTGAGTAGGGATCCTAGCACAAGACAAAGCCCTGTGAGGGGAGATAAGGATGCAAATAATACGAAACACTTGACATCTACTTGCATTACTTGACAGCTTATCTTGAAATATTTAAAATACTGAAACCTAAAGGTACTTTAATATTTGGAATTTTCTGTCAAATGTCAATGTCTCTTCTCACCGATTAAAACAATAAAAACAACAACACAACAAAACTTTTAGCTTTCTGGAACTGGGAAGGTGGCGCACGTCTTTATTCTCAGCACTTGAGAGCTGAAGGTAGATCTGAGTCTGAGGCCAACCTGGTCTGCAAAGTTTTAGGACACCCAGGGATACAAAACAATAACCTCTCAACATTCCTTTCACTTGAGATACCAGTTGTTCTCAAAGTTTAGTGCCTGTTCCATACATGTAGCACACATATGTGTTATACACTTTGCTCATGGCCTAGCACACACACTACTCCCCTCACAGGACAACGTATAAGTGTAAGTAGAAAGCACTGTGGAACTCACCTAGAACTTGGAAGCGCTCAGCATCCATGACCCATCATTACTGCTGGCCATAGTTAAATGCCCAAACAATATTAATCATAAGGAGCAGTTCTGCATACATTTTAAACAATAGCTAGAAATCTACAGCAAAGTCACATAACTATTTACACAGTTAAATACACCCCAAGTCACAAGTGTGTTCATAACACTCACCAGCTTTTTGAAAGGAAATATGTCATACATGATTCTACAGTATTCCATGGACGATTCTACTGAGCACGTCCACAAGGATTTGGAGATGGGAGCCAAAGGGATGATCCCTTGGGTCCTATTCTTCACCAGCATATCAAACTCGACATGCTGCCTGCACGACTCTGCCATGTACGGGCAGTGATCCACAACAAACACCGTTTTATGAGATTCGGAAAAAATCTTCATTTTGTCTTAATCTGTAAAAGGATAAACATAGTAGTCAAATGTTGGTACATAGCATTTATCACTTAGGTGTGTTTCCCTCAAGATTTGGCGGGGTGCCTAAGTTCCGAGAGTTTTGTTCAACAAAGGACAAGGTTGTGGTGCCAGTTCAAGGGCTGAGCTACATCGTACGAGGCTGTCAATTTACCTAACAAAGTGAGTCCCTAATTCTCTTTTCTCTTACAAAGTACTTAAAATAGAAGAAAACGTCGGTACATACTATTTGTACTGGACTCATATTCCCTATATATCACAGATCAATTCTTCAAAGGCATGTATGCTGATCCATGCTAGGGGCAGAGGGAAACTCCACAGAAGACTGACAGCAAAAGTACAAGACATTGGGTCTTTCCGTGCAGTCCAAACCCTCATCCTCCCCAGGCAACTTGCAATAAATACACCGTAGGAATTCACCATGTCTCCCAAAACAAGCAGATGCTGAGGACGAACCACTTCTAAAACTTTATAAGGAAAACACAGAATACGTGGTGCAGTCCCCTGGTTCGCTCATAAAAATCTTACAACAGACAAAAAAAAAAAAAATCCACACTCTAAAAGCACATGGGAAGCAGAAACAAGAGTGTGCAAGGGAACGAACCATCTTAACGGTCCCGCTACTCCCTCTGCCGCTCTAGACCGCCCGGAGCGCCCCTTCCACGCACAAGTGCCTCTCGGCAACCTGCACACACCTGGCTGCGGGTGGGGGGGGGGCGGTGTGCAAGGCGAGCGGACGGGGAAGCCCGCGGCAGCGAGGTTCGCTTACTTTCGTGCCTGGTCCTGCAGCGAACGAACGGAGGCCGAGGGGAAAGGCTGAGGAGGGTGGGTGGGGAGTCGGTGCACAGCCGTGGAGTCGGGTACCACCGGCGGAGGACAGCCCCGCTCATCTCCCAACACACCGGCTTCCTAAACGCAGGAGCGCGCGCCAGCGCGTGCGCGCACGAGAGCGCACTCTGGCCCGCGCGTGCGCACGGCGCCCTCGCACAGCCCCGCCATCTTCCCTTCCCCTCCGAGGAGCCCCGAACCGGAAGAGGGCGGAGCTAGTAAAAAGAACGGGAGGAAAAAAAATGCCTTCAACGATTGTCCCCAATCAACCGTTGGGAAGAACGGCCACGACGACCTGAGAAAATCCCCCAAAGCAAGCACTGGCCGCCGCGGCCCCGGTTGCCTCGGCTCTGCGGAGGCGAAGCCCAGCCTCGTCGCCTCCCCTTCTCCGCCTTCCACCGGCCTCGGAAACCACGCGAGAGTTCGCGAGCGGCAGAGCAAAAGCGTGAGAGCAGGCGAGGTGGGCGGGGCTAAGAGGGCAGTACCGGGCCCGCCCCCGCCTCTTCTGCCAATCAGCGGCGAGCCCCTCGTCCAGAGGGTGGGAGTACTCTCGCGGGCGTCCACGGAAGTCTCGCGAGGCTTGGCGCTCCACGGCTGCCGAGAGCGGAGGTTCTGGACCGGCCGGGGATGGGTCCGATGTGCTCGGGCTGCCGATACGAGCGGCCGCCGTCTGGGCAGCGTAGTGCTTCTGGTCGCTGAGCAGGCGCAGCGAGGGTGGGAGGCCGCCCCTGGACGCCGGGATCTCGCGGGTCCCTGTCGCCGACGGCTGAGAGGGACTGGAGCCGAGTGAGTGGAATAAGACGTGGGCGAGCCCCCGAGCCGGGCTCCCTCTCTCCGTGCTCCCGCCGAGCTCCTGTCCGGGAACCGAGGTACGGAAGATCCGTGAAAACCCCGAGCCCTCACTCGCCGCAGGGCACCCCTTCCGGGTTTGTTTTCTTCCTGCCCGGGCGCCCGGGAGCTCCGTGGGCGGTGGCGGGAGGGACTTGTCACTGTTGAATTTACCTCCGCGCGCTGCACCGTGTTGGCGACTTGGACTTCGCCGCCGTCCTGATTGATTTAATCCCGCAGTGCCCTTCCGAATTCTGTTCTGAGTTGAAGAACTGGTTTTCTCCAGAAAGATGTTCGTAAACTCCAAGTGCGTGCGTTCCTCCATTTTTCAACAGCAGTGCGGTTCTCCGCTCTCGGGAGTGATGTGTGCGGACAGGAGGAGGCTCATGTGTGTGATCCGCAGACCTTCCTTCTCCCGTTCTGAGGTTTTCTTTGAGAGACTGCTGTTTTTATGCTGCTACTTCTACGGTCAGCTACTGATTGACAAGAGGTGTCTGCTCCCAAAGAGCGGGGACTCTTCTTTCTGCCCGCTTTTCTTTTGTATCCCGACCATGATCGACAGTGCCATGCTCCTTTCCAGACCACGGACCTCAGAATTATCTAAGGTTCTGTATCTCACTCACACCGCGCCAGGTTATTTCTTCTTTCCCTTTCTTCCACCACCCCAAACGGGTGTCCCTGTGAAATGCATTATGTCCCCTGAAACTTTTTCAAGTTCTAATTTAAGCATATTGATTCATCGGGGCCTTTTACCGCACCGTCTCAAATCGTATTTTACTTCTTAGTGTCACCTTGTTGCTGCCCCTACTTCTTTACCAGGCACCCATGCCAAGCTGTTGGGTGTTTCCTCTGCCGTTGTTCGCCCGGTATAGTCCTGTTGGGATGCTTGCTTTTCCTGCTGTCTCACCCGTCTATCAAAACCCAAAACTCCCTTGGGTGACATTGATAATACAGTGAGCTCCCAGAGCTCTTGACGTAATTCTGCAGTATTTATTAGGATGTATTATATGTTCAATTATTTGTCTCTCCTGCCAGCTTGACTTGAGTCTGGAATCATGTCTTACTCATCTTTAAAACAAAAGCTAGCTCAGTGTTGGCACATAGCAAACATTATTTATGCATATATATACATATTTATAATGCAGTCATTCTAAAGAATCTGCTACAAAAATTCTTGGTCCCTTAAAAATCAGAGCATTAGAACCCGAAGGGCCTTTTTTATTTTCGGGTAACTGCCCTTTACCTGTTTTGAATATGAGCAGCCCTATATTCTATCTAACATGTATGTAATTGTACCTTTGCTATTAGTTGATGGAGGTTGTATATAATAGCATATGCGTGTGCATGCACACACACCTCATGCATCAAATGATTTTGTATTATGCTAGTATATTTATATCTGACAAGTCGAACTTTATATGACACAAATGTTTTTGACAGTGCTCAGCATATATGCATTCATGCAGAGATCCAGTGACTGCCTGTATGTTAGAAATAACTGGTTTAGGTTAGGTTAGTTCTTTGAACAGACACAGTTCTAGGTTGGTTTTGATTCACCGGTGCTCTTTCTCCCAAACTGTGTCCTTTCAGCTTTAGGAGTATCAGGTGTACTTTTTTTTTTTTTTTAATGTATACAATACTCTGTCTGTGTGCATGTCTGCAGAAGAGGGCACCAGACCTCATTACAGATGATTGTGAGCCACCATGTATGTGGTTGCTGGGGATTGAACTCAGGACCTTTGGAAGAGCAGGCAATGCTCTTAACCTCTGAGCCATCTCTCCAGCCCCTCGGATGTTCTTCATAGACCTTCAAGTACATTCATATTCATGGGGTAAAAAAGAATTTCTTTAGGTTTTTCTTAACTAAAAGCTAAAAGTAAACAGCTGGCAATTGCTGTTGTGGGTAGGTGGTGGTTTCTCTTTAATCAGCAGCAGAATGTTCTCAACCATCTGTCAGAATCAGACTGCAAATGTCTTAGTGGCAGAGTGAGCGAAAATGGGACTAAAGCAGGAAGCAAAAGTAAAGAAAACTTCTTAAAAGTCTGCCCCGAAGTCTGAGCCTCCATGTATAAAATAGTTTAGATATATTATGACTAGTTAAGACAAGCACTGAAAAAAATAGGCAGATACATTTGAGACGATTCCTTTAAATTGGAGTCTGTTTTTAAAAATTTATAGCAGAATGTGGAGAACAGTATCTCTCCCACATTACTTACAGGCCAAAAAGGGAGAGGAAGAATCTTTTAGAAAGGGTGGCAAAGCGAATTCATATTATAAAATATTTTCAGCTCTTTTGAGGTTTTGCAAATAGGAAATGAGTACACAGGCTTTCAGAGGCTGCACCACTGTTTTCTAAAATGTTAATAAGATTCGACGCTGAGTTACCTGTTTACAGTTCTTTCTGTGCAGATAGGTTTAGACTTCTGAGATGTAAAAATGTAGTTCATTTTGTTAGTCTTTGTGCAGCCTAGAGAACATTTTTAAAGTAGTTCTTTTTTAAGATCCCAACATAGTCATTGCTTAATATTAATGTATACTTAAAACAATGGCTAGATTTTTGTAGTTACATAAAATTTCAAATTTTTTTGTTTTTTAAATTGTTCTTCATGTACATCTCCCTTGGTTGACTTGAAATGAAAAAAATTAAATCTTTTAGAAGTTTCGGAGTCAGGAGATTTATTCTTTCCACCTCTGGATGCTGAGACAGTTCTAACATAGGAAGAAGCAAGTAGGGCCCTCAGGTCCAGTGTGGCTTGGAGTTCCAGTCCTGGCCCCACCAGGCTCTAACTCAGCTCCTGTGTTTGGAATCCTTGAGTCCATTTTCTCAGTGAAGAAAAAGGAGTGGCACTCGTCCTCTTGTCTAAACGGCAAAATAAGGTGGCATTTTAGGTCCAGAGATCTACCATTTTGAATTAATTAAAATTAGTGGGCCTGCCACAAACTGACAACCTGAGTTTGATCCCTGAGCCCATATGGTGGGAAGAGGGAGCCTATTCCAAGTTGTAAGTATTACCTAGCAGTTTGGGTAGGATTGTGGTGCAGGCCGTCACCATTTTATTTAAGTTTCTTTAGTGATAGTAAACATCTTCCATGTGCTTCCTCACCACCACCACCATATGCATATCTTTTAGGGTAAGTATTTAAAGTCTTTTGGCCATTTTTAAAATTAGACTTTTCTTGCTACTTTGACAGCTTTTTTTTCTTTTCTGGTTGAGTGCTCCATCAGATGTATAACTTGGAAATGCTTCCTCGAAGAAGCTTAGCTTCTGATAGTTAGTTACTCATCTGGATGAAGCCTGGTTCACCAGCGGTTTTCATGGTTTTATGTTTGTTTCATGCTGTTGGTACTGACTATCTCCACATTACAGAGATTTTCTTTGCTTCTTTTTCCCATTACTGTTTTTCATTTTATATTAAAATTTGTGCTCCGTTTTGAGAAAAGCATTCTATAAACCAAGTAAGAATTGTATTGAGATTACTCTCCGGCACATAGGTGTCTGGTTCTTCCAGTGCCATTTGTTGAAAAATGCTGTTTCTCCTTTTTTTAAAAAAATGTATGTGTGTGCACACATGTGCAGGTGCTCTTGACGATCAGAAGAGGGCTTCAGATTGAAGCTCGAGTTAGTGACACTTGGGAGTGGCCTGACAGAGTGTCTGACCTGTCATCCTCGAAGCTGACGGCCCGCACCGTAACCACTGAGCCATCTTCCTTGCACCTGGTTTCTCTGACTTGTCTTTACACTTTGCTGTTCTGTCTTTTGTCTCTGTGTAGCTCATGCTGGCCTTGAACTCACTGTAGTAATTCATGCTAGCCCCAAGCTTTCAGTGATTCCTCTGCCTCAACCTTCGCAGTGATTGAGTTACAGAAGTGTCCGCACCACACCCAGCTCCCTTTGCGCATTTTCAAAAGTGGATTGGTCGCCCTCCTGTGGGCCTGTTTCTGCGTCTCTGTTCTGTCTCCCTGTATCAGAGCCATCGTTGCTATGCTGTCTGTAAAGTGAGTCTTAAAAAGTACACTTGTATCTCTGCACGATGGTTTCGGTGATTCTAGTTTCCTTGCTTTCTATAGAAATTATAGAATCAGCTTGTCAGCTTCCAGCTGCATTGACTGATAGCTGAAAACATTTTGTCTCTGTTATACTGAGTCATTAAATCCTTGAGCACAGTGTTTTCTCCGCATAATTAGACCCTACTTTGTTTTCGGTTAGCATTTTGTAGTTGCCGGAGTATAGATCCTGTATACTTTGATTGTGCTCAAGA